TCTTCACGAAACAGTTACAATCACCAAATATAACGTTCCATTAATGTCATTAATGCTCATAATGACTCAAAAAGGGGAAAAGACGTTGTACTTAGAAATGGCTATATAAGGAATAGAAATGTCATTTGTATGGACACGTTCTGATTATCATTGGAATACAATTATTTGCTTCTGCTTTATATTGATTACTTTGCTATTCCATACTTTACTTTTCCTTTCTTATTACAAGAATATTCCTTTTCTTGATTATCAGTAACCCAAGTACTTCTAAAAATAGGCTTTGACCGAAATTCTTATTTTCTGGTTAAACAAATTGGTTCTGTTATCGGGAATCTGATAATCTTTTCACTTTCCAAATCCATTCTTTTGCCAAAAAAATTATGTCAAACGCCAACGACAACAACCCATAAAACTTGCAAAACCCACAAAATCAGCAACAGTTGAATCAGCATAATCAACAGGGAGATGGAACTCCAGTCCCCTCACCACGAAAATCTCCTCGACAATCACGAGAAGGGACACCTGATAGATCTGAATCGCATGTGAATGATCAACATGGGGACGATCAAGATATCGATGCAACATTGAAATAGTTAATTGCAAAACAAGTCAGCAATGCTCCGCAAGCTTTTGTTAGTCGGTTGCCAACCGTACCACCAACTCCTCCTCCTAACAACATCACGACCATAGAGAATCCACGCTCAGGACTTGCTAATTCGGGCAGTTGAGGAACTCCCAGCGAATCTCGTGATGGAGGGTCAGGTATCCCAGTTAATTCTGATTTACAAGGTCTAGTACTAACTTTGCAGAAACAGCTCAAGGAGCAGAACGAATGCATAGAACAGATACTTGGTGTTCCAATTATAATCAAAGGAGCAGATATGGACAAATACTCTCTACAACCTTGGAAGCCAAGTGCCGCTCCTTTTCTTATTTCGAAGAAGTTTAAAATGCCCGATATCCCAAAGTACGATGGGACAATCGATGCCCGAGATCATGTGACAGCATTTACAACTGGCGTAAAGGGCAACGATTTGACCAAGCAATAGATTGAATCAGTACTAGTCAAAAAATTCGGTGGAACGCCCACAAAGGGAGCATTAACATGGTATTCTCTTTTACCTGAAAACTCTATTGATTCTTTTGCTGAGCTCGCAGATTCGTTTATAAAAGCACACTCGGGAGCTCAGAAAGTTGAGAAGAGGATGGAAGACATCTTCAAAATAAAACAAGGAGATACGGAGTTACTTAGGGAATTCGTAGATAGGTTCCAACGTGAAAGGATAATGCTACCACGCGTACTTGACAATAGGGCGGCTATGGCATTTGCAAGCAATTTAAATGAAAAAAGATCAGAAGCCACAAGGAGACTCAAAGAAAGCTTACGAGAATTCCCTGCAACAACTTGGAATGATGTTTACAACAGGTACAGCACGAAGCTGCGGATAGAAGATGACACTATCACTCAGTCCCGAAGAGATAAAAGAGTAAGCTCAAGATGGCCGGAAACTGAAAAAAGGTCCGGTAAAAATAGGTACGAACCCTATATGGGACTAGCAGGTAGGGATTCACGTTCAATACAAGAAAATCCCAGGTATGATTCCAAATCAAGGGACAAAGATTAGGGTTCATCGTCCAGGTTCGGAAAAGAGTAGGATACGCGAGATACTAGAGACAATGATAGAAGCTCAAAAGCAAAGATTGGTGGTTACAGCTTCAATGTTAGCACGTCTGAGTTGGTAGCTGTTTTAAGAAGCATGGGAGATAAAGTACGGTGGCCAAAAGAAATGAGATCTAACCCGAAATGGAGAAACCCCAATTTCTGGTGCGAGTTTCACAATGATTACGTCCACAAAACAGCGGATTGCAGACTGCTACAAGGTGAAGTTGAGCATTTATTAAAGCAAGGATACTTAACGGAATTGTTTAGTGAGAAAGGTGAGCAAGCATATATGAAGAATAGGCAGGAGCCACCAAAACCTCCATCACCAAAAATAATAGTCAATGTCATAAGCAGAGGAGAGGAGGTCAACGGCGTAACATATACGACAGCAAAAAAGGTGTCAAAAATCACGGTTACCCATGGGAAACGAGTTTGCCAAGTTTGGAAGAAGACAGTATAAAATGTGATGATGCAAACGTAGATGGCGTGTTGATCCCACACAATGATGCACTGGTAATATCTTTACTTGTACATGATACTAACGTAAAACGAGTTTTGATTGATCCAGGTAGCTCTGTAAATATCATTCTGCTAAGAGTGGTAAATGAGATACAAGCCGATGGTAAATTGGTACCCAAAGCACGTACCTTTTCTGGTTTTGATAACTCGAGCGTTGTTACAAAAGGGGAGATAATACTCACCACATTCGCAGAAGGAGTAGTCAAAGATACTAAATTTCAAGTAATAGATATGGATATGACGTACAATATGATTCTTGGCAGACATTGGATTCGCGAGATGGATGTTGTTCCATCTACCTTACATCAAGTAATCAAGTTCCCTTCGCAATGGGGAATAAGGCAAATCCGTGGAGATCAATAGACTTCCCGAAGCATTAACTCAGTGGAAGATTCAAGCGGAAGAAATGACATTGCATGTGAAAAATAGCAATTACAGAATTCAGTTGAGGGTTTAGCGACACAAGCCTCAACTGCAGATGGACAAACGGATGTAGACACGAGGCCTGATACTATTCAAGAACCAGAAGAAAATGAAAACATCAAAACAACAATAGAGGAACTGGAAGCAGTGGTGTTGTTGTGCATTGGCCTGACAGAAAACTCTACATCGGAACCAACCTTAGCCCAGAGATAAAAAGTAAGTTAATTGAATTTTTAAAAGCTAACGCAGATTGCTTTGCCTGGTCCCATTCAGATATGACAGGTATACCACCGGAGGTAACGACCAATAAACTGAATGAAGATCCGACGTATCCGCCTATCAAACAGAAGAAAAGGAAGCAAGGATCCTTCAAAAACTATGTGATTCAGGATGAAGTACAAAAGCTTTTAAAAATTGGGTCTATCCGTAAGGTAAAGTATCCTAATTGGCTAGCTAACATTGTAGTGGTGCCCAAAAATAATGGTAAGTGGCGAGTTTGCGTAGATAATACTGATTTAAAAAAAGCTTTCCCTAAATATTCTTTTCCATTACCGCACATAGATCAACTAATTGATGCTACTGCAGGGCACGAAAAATTAAGTTTAGATGCCTATTCAGGTTATAATCAAATAAAAATGGATCTTTCAGATGAGGAAAAAACCTCCTTTATTACAGACAAGGGGACCTACTGTTATAAAGTAATGCCTTTCGGTCTTAAGAATGCTGGAGCCACGTACCAGAGGTTAGTAACTAAGATGTTTCAAGAACATCTGGGAAAAACCATGGAGGTTTATATCGATGATATGTTGGTAAAATCACAACAGGTGGAGGATCATATTCAACATCTATCAGATACGTTCCAGATTCTCCGCAAATTCAATATGAAGTTAAATCCCGAGAAATGTGCATTTGGTGTATCGCAGGTAAGTTCTTAGGTTTCCTTGTTTCTAATCGTGGAATTGAAGTAAATCCATTGCAAATTAAAGCTATTAAAGAGATACCGGATATACTTACGAGCAAAAAAAGTGCAGAGGTTACCAGGTAGGATAGCAGCATTGGGGAGATTTATTTCTAAATCTTCGGAGAAAAGTTTAAGTTCTTTTCAGTGTTGAAAAAGCAAAATCAATTTGAATGGACTGAAGAATTTCAACAAGCGCTCAAAAACTTAAAAGCGTACTTGTCAAATCCACCGTTGCTGGCTAAACCAAAGGATGGAGAAGGGCTACTCATCTACCTCGGTGTTTCAGAAGTGGCGGTAAGTGTCGTATTAGTTTGGGAGGACAAAGGTAAACAATCTCCGATTTATTATATTAGTAAATCTTTATTAGATGCTGAAACTCGATATCCTCATTTAGAAAATCTTGCTTTAGCATTAATCATGGCATCTAGAAAACTAAGGCCTTATTTTCAGTGTCACCCTATTTCTGCAGTGACCGCCTACCCCTTACGTAATATATTGCATAAGCAAGAGTTATTAGGTAGGTTAGCCAAATGGGCCATAGAACTAAGTGAATATGACATCACTTATCAACCTAGAACTGCAATAAAATCACAAGTTTTAGCAGATTTCGTGGCAGATTTTAGCCCAAGAATGGCAACAGAAGCAGAAAAAGAACTGCAGGTATTTAACGGGTCTAATCCAGGAACTTGGACCCTATTCACCGATGGCTCTTCAAATGTAAAAAGAGCGGGTTTAGGCATTGTCCTAATCCCACTTGCAGGAGAGACTATACATCAAGCCATAAAATGTCATCCTATTACTAATAATGAAGCAGAATATGAAGCTGTGATTGCAGGTTTAGAATTGGCACGAGAGCTCGGAATAGAGCAGATCATAATCAAAAGTGACTCGCAGCTCGTGGTTAATCAAATGCAGGGGACTTATACAGCTAGAGAGGCAAGGATGCAGCAGTATTTAGAAAAGGCACGAGATTTGATTAGACGGTTCCGAACATGGAAAATCGTGCAGATACCGAGAGACGAGAACGTCGAAGCAAACGTGTTGGCTCACCTCGCATCCGCTGTAGAAGTGACAAATGAAGAAAATGCATCTATAATACATTTGTTTCATTCGGCACTCGACCAAGATAAAAATGAGGTAAATTTCAATAATTTGACCTGGGATTGGAGAAACGAGATCATCAATTTTTTGCAGTATGGAATATTACCTGAAGATAAGAAAATGACTTAGGCACTCCGTCAAAAGGCTGCCCGTTATTGTTTGGACCGAGGCAATTTATATCAAAAAATATTCGGCGGTCCTTTAGCAAGGTGTCTTGGACCTTCTCAAATGGATTATGTGATGAGAGAAGTACATTAAGGACATTGCAGAAATCACGCCAAAGGAAGATCCCTGGTAAAAACTCTAATTAGAGCAGGGTATTATTGGCCGAAAATGGAGGAAGAAGCCGAAAATTTTGTGACCAAATGTGACAAGTGCCAAAGATATGGTAACAATATGCATCGACCAGCAGAGTTACTACATCCGATTATTGCACCATGGCCTTTTATGAAGTGGGGGATGGATATCGTGGGTCCATTACCACAAGCCAAAGGAAAGGTACGATTTTTATTAGTGCTTACTGATTATTTACTAAGTGGGTAGAAGCAGGTGCCTTCAAAAAGGTACGAGAAAAAGAGGTCAGAGACTTCATTTGGCGAAACATCATATGCCAGTTCGGGGTTCCAAAGGAAATCGTGTGTGATAATGGCCCGCAGTTCATATGTGCGCAAATCATAGAATTCTTTCAGAGTTGGCAAATTAAAAGGATTACTGCAACACCTTATCATCTTGTGGCCAATGGACAAGCTGAATCAATAAATAAAGTTATTATTAATAACTTGAAGAAAAGATAGAGGAGTCAAAAGGTAAGTGGCCAGAAAGGCTACCTGGAGTCTTGTGGGCTTACCGGACAACAACAAAAACAAGTACAGGAGAGACACCATTTTCACTTGTGTACGGTTCTGAAGCCTTAATTGCAGTTGAAATAGGAGAGCCAAGTACGAGATACACCCAAGCAACCGAAGACTCAAATGAGGAGGAGATGCGAGTAAATCTCGATTTGCTTGAAGAAAGGAGAGAAACAACTTTAATAAGGGTGGTTGCGCAGAAAAAAATTATTGAGCGATACTAGAATCGGAAAGCTCATCTTAGGTATTTCAAGATTGGGGACTACATACTCAAGAAAGTTTTCCAAACCACAAGAGCAGCCAATGCAGGGAAGTTGAGTCCAAATTGGGAAGGACCTTATAAGGTTCAAGGCGTCGCAGGGAAAGGTGCATATGAGTTGGAAACCATGGATGGCAAAGTTCTACCCTCGAGTTGGAATGTTGTTCATCTGAAGAAGTACTATTTCTAAGGAAAGGAAATACCCATGGTCAGGTACCCCTTAACTACGATTTTTAATTTGTACAGTTAAAATTATACTAACGATTTTAGATGACAGGCAAAAAAGCTAGCCCGCACCAAATGATGATATTAGACCTGAAAGACACGCGGAAGCAACATAATTCCCGGTCTAGGGTTACAACATTTCTGATGAAAATATAAAGGGTTAAGCAGTCATCATCTAAATTATATATGCCTCCGAGTCTCGTACGTTTTTCCTTTTTTAGGAAAAGGACCACATGGAAGGAATAATCAAGTGCTCGAGATTTCATACTTCAAAGATCAAACACTTGGGGGACTATATATATATGGAAGACAAAGAAGACTGGAACAATCAGAATTCAAGTCAAGCCTAAAAGTCTACTCATCCGAAAGTTCAGAGCAAAGTCACGAGCCAAAAACGCAAGCCTGATTCAAAAACCTATGAAGAATACACTCGTGGATGTAACTTCCAAATTTTTTTATGAATGTATAGGTTAAAGGCAATATTTAGTCATGGGTTGCCAAGATACCCTCGAATTTTTTACAAAATCTGTTGTAAAGAAAACAATTATGGAAAAGTCATAGATGATACTTAAATACATGTAAAATATTGTTGAAAGTTCAAATGAAACAAAAACTTTCCTCAAAGTTATTCAAAGAAACATGTGTGTTCCTATTTCTTCTTTCGTATGTTTACACCATTATGAAGTTGAGACGTCTTCTTCATTAAGTGTCGTATATAAAAGGGCCCTCTTTTATAATTTGTGCTTGTTCAAAAGTCATGAAATTTACAAAGCATTTTAAATGCAAAAGTTAAAATAGCAAAGGGTTAAACAAAAACCTACATTAAAATTAAGTGGAAAGTAAAGCCCCAAACTTATGAAGAAAAAGATAAGGGCAAACCACTGAAAGAGTAAAATAGAAATTCGAAATAAAGATATCATAAAAGTTGGACAAAAAATTTATAATATCATAATAACTTGGTTAAAACTAAGTATGAACTTAGTTTTAACCTAATCGTCTTTACAAAAAAAACCCCGAAACAAACTAGGGGCAAGGTCTTCCAAAAACATCACCCCAAATGGGACCAGGGGTAAACCTCCAAATATTCCACCAGTATATAAAAAAACAATACTTCTCATTTTCTTAAACTTTCACTAAGGGGCAGAATCTGAACCAGGAAGAACGGCATCATCAGAAGCAGGAAGAGTAACTTGAGCGGAAGGAGATTGAATAACAGCCTCACCAGGAGTAGTTTCAACACCCTCGGGAATGTCAGTCACGGGTGAAGAAAAGCTTTGACTTTGTTGGATTTTCTCAATGGTCTCCTTGATCTTTGTAATCTCAGCAGCTAAGTCAAAGCCTTCCTGGCTTGCTTCCAGTAAAGTATAATGGCATGTGTTCAAAAAAACCCAACTTACTTCAACGATAGTCTTGTCTTCAAGGGCTTCATAGTCTCTTTCCCAATGCTCAATCTCATTCCTGAGTTCTTCTTTCTCAGTTAAGGCAGCATTATAAGAAGCATGCAGGGGGGCAAGTGAATTCTCTAAAAATCGAACCCTATCAGAAGACATTCGGAGATCCTCTTGGGCTTGCGTGAGCGTTTGAACGAGTTCACCAGCATAAACTTCTTTCTGATTCAATAGGTCTTTCAAACCTCTGATCTCTTCACTAGCTCTAGAAAGCTGTTCAGCAAATGAGGACTCAAGAAGGTTCTTGTCTTTGCCCGCCTGATTAGAAGAGGCTCTCTCAACCGCTAGTTCTGCTGCCAAAACATGTACTTGCTGCTCCAAGGTAAACTTGTTTTCCTCTAACACCTCCATTTCAAGTTGAAGACTCTCGTACTATTCCTTCCAATTATCTGCCTCAGTATGGTAGTCATGCATTAGCTGCTCTGTATGGACGATCCTTTTCATCATCTCCTTACAAATAAGATTGATCTACATAATGAAAAAGAAATGTGATACTGATAAAAGAAAAATCACATAAGATAAAAAGGCGAGATTTATACCTTCAAGGAAGAATGAACAATATCGTTCATCCAAGTTAGGGAGCTATGACTCTCCAGTTTTGACTTCTCAACTGGGCCTATCAGTGGTTTCAACCACACGTCAGCCTGACCTGATTTCTTCAAAAGGTTACCATCTGAGGGAATCTCAATGGTAACTTGTTTCATTGCCCTACTTCCGCTAGAGGAACCAGTTTCAGCGCGAGAAGTTATGGCAGCGGGAACGGTTGAAGAAGTCAAAATAGCCACAGGCGGAGTAGTAACGGCAATAGTAGGAACAGGCAACCGAGTTTCCATTGGAGCAGACATAGGAAAAGAGGCAAGAGGCGCCTCCTCAAAAATTAAGCCAAAGTTTTCATCATCAAATCCATGAGAAAAGAGGTGTTCAGTAGAGTCACGGGGTGCTGCAGGAGTCTCTTCATCAGAACTCACTAAAGTAGCACTCTCAGGCTCAAACACAGAAACAGGACGAGGAGGAGGAGTAGCTTATCATCAGATATGACCCGTCTTCTGGCTCGTGGCTTACGAACCAAAGAGCCCTCATCCCTCTCCTCTTCATCTTCGGAATCCTGTGGCCTGTCAGCTTTTCTTTTTGATGAGGAACTCAAAATTATTTCCTGAGCTTTTGCTAAAGGGAGCCTTGAGGCAGTAATTGATTCAACACTCACACCCTAAATGGGAAACCCTAATAAAGAAAAGGGTTAACAAATGCTAGGATAAGAACAAAAATTAAGAAGAAAGTAAAATAGAAAGTTACCGTGAGTCTTAACTTTCCATGCAAATCTATTTAAAAGATACTTCCAAGACCTCACTTTCATAGGAGCAATTGTTAACAATTTTTTTACCCAACCACGGAAACCGGGTATCTCCTCAACAGTTCCCATGGTTGCTGAAAAAGAAAAATAAAACAATTACGAGAAAGTACAAGCTCTTCACAAAAAAAAGGAGAAATAAAGATTGAAAGAAAAACTTACGTGTAAAGTTCCACTTCTCAGGGAAGGGCATGTTCTCTTCACCTACTAACCCACTTGTGGGGGCATCAACGAATCGGGCATACCAGCCACGGTCTTTATCATCCTCAGGGCTAACCAAAACTCTCTTACTTCTTGCCACGAGAGTAAAAATCCCCTGACGAAATAACTTGGGAGAGTAGAGATGGATTAAATGGTAAAAGGTGAAGGGTAACTGAGCCAGATTTGCCAAATATCTAAGGCATTCCACAGCCTAGGGCCAATCTGTCCTAAACACACCTCAAATAAACGATAAAATTCAATGATGACCGGGTCAATAGGAGGCCTAAAACCTAATGTGAAGGGATATGTATACACAAAAGAAAATCAGCTTTAAAGGAAGTGATTCTTTGATTTTCATTAGGAACCAGAATTGGGAAGTCAAATTTCCAATGGAAGTCTCTACGCACAACAGAAATCAAACCTTCAGTAATCTGAGAAGGGTAAACATCACTACGATCATGAAAAGTCATAGAAGTGACTTGATTCCTAATCGATTCCCTATCAGAATAGAAAGAAAGTTCACAGGGATGATCTCATCAACAAAAGGTTCACGAATTAGTTCATTAGAATCTCTACCTCTAACGGACGATCTATGAGAAAAAGAGGCCCTAATTTTAGAAGATGATGGGGGAGTAGGACTAGGTTGAGAAGAAGAACCACGTACATAAATTGACCCTAAACTACGTAACCTACTACCTCTCCTACTTCTCATGGGAGCAGAAGAAGGGGGAAGTTCGTCTACAATAAGAACTTTTCGGGGATCAGGATTTGAAGAAGACATGGTTGTATGAAGAAGTAGAACGTGTTGAAGAGCAGGATGTGGATGAAGAACACTGAAGAATTTTTTTTCGTGAAAGTAAAGGCAAAGGATGTATTTATATACAGAAGCAACCGTCATGCAAAAAAGGTAATGATGGAAACATCATCATGAAAACTGTCACTTCGTGATTGATGCAACCGTAAAAAAGCCTTAGAAACCGCTGAAGAGTTGCATAACCAATCGATGACCGCCACGTGTCACACACATTAAATTGAATTGACATGCTATGCGTCAGTTCAGAAGAAGGTATAATGGTATGTGAGAAATGGAGGCGAAATTCCCGCTTTAAATGAGAGCCACTTCCCAAATATTTAATTGCTAAATAATTGGAAAGTGGGGGACTATCTGTATTAGGAAAAAATAAACATTACACGTGGAATTAATTGTGTGGCTGACATGGCAAGACACGTGGGTCATTAGAAAAGTGACAGCTGGAGAAGAGTACTTAAAAAGACGTGAGTCTTAATAGGTACGAGCAAAACGTCCGAGGGACGAGAAGGAACGGTTGCTCGAGTCTCTCGGTAATCTGAAAAGACACCGGTGGAATGAACCAAGATAGGAAAAAAGGATAGATTCATTGGACTTCAATTAATGGGCATGAATGATTACGAACGTTATAGAATCTTCACGAAACAGTTACGATCACCAAATATAACGTTCCATTAATGTCATTAATACTCATAATGACTTAGTCATAAAAGAAAAAAGACGTTGTACTTAGAAATATCTATATAGGAACATAAATATCACTTGTATGGACACGTTCTGATTATCATTGGAATACGATTATTTGCTTATGCTTTATATTGATTACTTTGTTATTTCATACTTTAATTTTCCTTTCTTATTACACGAATATTCCTTTTCTTGATTATGAGTAACCCGAGTACTTCTAAAAATAAGCTTTGACCGAAATTCTTATTTTTTGGTTAAATAGGTTTTTAAATATCCATTGACACCGCTAACTAGAATGGTCTTCTCTACATATTTTCTATTATTAATTTCCCTTCTCTACCATCTTATTCTTTTCATACTTATCTTAGACTAATCATAAATTATTTCCATTTTTCTATATGCAATTTTAGCTAGATAACAATTTTTCTGAACTTCATAGGGAACATGTAGAAAAATTTCTACTGCCCCTAAATTACTAATTTTGGTTAAATTATACGGATAAGTTTTCATGATCTAAATTCCAATATGGTTAAATTACACAGACCAGCCTTGAGCCTTCTATCTTTTAAGATAGTGGTAATTTTTAATTTGGATCTTTACCTAACACGTTGTTTTTCTTTTATAGTCAACATTAGTTGAAAAATATGAACTTAATTTTTTCAAAAGTCCGTACGGTCATAAATTATAGTAGCAAACATTGCATAATGAGTAGCATTTGCCAAAAATCTTAAAACCTACATTACAATAGGAAAAAGTCTCGATCATCATTACTTTTAAAGAAGAATAGGTAGTGGTCTTTTTGATTTTTTCTCAATATATTTTCGGAATCTAAAAAGTAATAGAAATAGTTCAAACAACACAAACTTATTTGCTTGAGTATATGACATCTGGAGAAGTCGAGAAAATCCCTCATAATATTTTTTATCCAAATTCTAAGTTTTGAAAAGAGTTTTTTTCTTCAAGATAATTAATCTCCTTTATGTTTTTCAAACGAGTAAAATCCTTTAAAGTTCGGACAAGTATACTTTAGACACCCAAAACTAAAGACCAAAGAAAATCCCATTAAATGCTATTATCCAAATTTTAAATTCTGAAAGATCTTTTAAGAAATCGCATTAGATGCTTTTTTCCAAATTTTAAGTTCCGAAAGATTACCACAGGGGTCGTTGTTAGATAAATATGATCCCTCTGCGGTAAATTTATATGTACTTGATGTTTGCATCAAACTATTTAGTATATATAAAGGCGGATTCAAAATTTTTACGCGATGAGGCATAATATTCTGCTCAACAAGTGCCCCCTATAGGCTTTTAATGTTCAGGGTGCCACGTGGTTTAAATTAACCATTTTCAAGGTATATACATATACATATACAAGTTTTATGCCGAATCTTACGGGGTTCGGTGACCCCTCAAAATATAGCTAGGTTCGCCTCTGAATACATCGATGTACGCGAGTAAGTATTTGCCATTAATCTACTATCATTAACTAGAGGTTTCGAGTTCAAACTTTAAAAAGGAAAAAAAAAATCTGATAAGAAATATTTTATCTTTTAATGTATTTTTTACGATACAAATTCAGATTAATTTGGTTCAATTTTTCAAATTTAAGTTTGGAAAGATCCTTTCCTCAAGATAAGTGAACGTACCATAGTTTTAAACACATAATGTGTACTATCCCAAAACCTTTGGGCGCAAGCAAGAATCAGAATAAACAATGGGAACAACTTGGAAAAGAAAAAGTGACAAATTAAATTAGTGCCATGTCTCTAAAACCATCAAGATTATCAAAACCAAACACAAAGTCTTGTTCAAAAACCACTCACCTTACCCAACAAAAACCACTTTAAAATAATAGTCTGTGTATTCCCCTGGCAACCTTATCCATTTTCCTGCCTACCTTAAAATCCACCGTTTGGTCTTCTCTATATATATATATTGTCCAAAACCAACATTTCTTTTACACATCAAATTTAAAGCTCTCAAGAGAAACAACCCTAATTACTATGGCTGATATTGCTATGTTAGTTGCAGAAGAGTATGAAAGGAGGGTCAAGAATTCAAGAAAATTTGGTGCTGAAGAAGAACTACAATTCTTCTCTTATTTCTCATCAGTTTTGGGCCAGAAGATTAATGGCTATTCTTCTAAAATCAAGATGACGATTGGAGAAACCAAGATTAATGAGGAGCTGTTGATGATCAGAAGAGGAGTTTTTGGAACTGAGAGTGAGATTGGACTTGCAGCTATTAATGGTGTCTTTTCTGCTTGAAGTGAAGAAAAATGGCAGCAGCTTTGAATCTTATTTTAAGCTTAATTACATACTTCTGAAAAACAAAATGTTGTATATCTATGTCATGTTAAGTTTATTGCTTTCTTTTTTTGCTGGAATCTGTAAATATTAAAATTTGCAATCTTGAATGGTAAAAGAGTCAAAATGTGATTTGTATCTCATAATTTCTTCTTCTAAAAATGGAATCTATTTCAGCTGTGAATCTCCATGCTTGTGCTTGATGTAATAAATATATGGAATAACTAATAACCTTGAAAATGTTTCTTTTTCTTTTTCTTATATTTCTTTAGTTTTTAGTATTGAATATCTTGTTAATTTACCATTAGTTTCTCTGTTTTGATTTGAAATGTTCATATCATGAGATATTCTGTTGATTATGTATTTCGGTTTTGATCGTCAGCTGGCAAATAGAATTGTTATTACAAGTTTTAGATCACTAAAGTTTTTATTTTTTATTTTTAAATTCATGTCCAGTCTAATATTCTCACATAAATTAAAATATTTTTAAATCGTGATTTTTTTCCAAAGTTCGTCTCTAGTAAAATATTCTCACATAAGTTTAGACAATATATATATATATTTTAGGAGTTTTATAATAAAGGAGTATATTTTTGGAGTAGTTGTTTATGTGTATATATAAAATATGCTTTGAAATACTTCGACAACGGTAGACAAAACAGATATACCAGCTCAACAACAATAAAGAAAAATTAAACCCAAAAAAAAAAAAAAAGAGGACCTTAAGGAGTCGTTTGACCATGAATTTTATTCATTTTTTTTTGGGAATAATATTTCATTTTATTTCAAAATGGGAGTTGGATTTTAAATTTGAAAAAAGTGCTCCAAACCTGTTTTCCAACTCCATCTTCATAGATTCCAAATAAAGTGCTCTTGTTTTCCAACTCCATCTTCATGGATTCCAAATAAAGTGCTCTCTTTTTCCAAAGGAAAAAGTATAAACAAACACAACTCCAGCTTCAATTCCAACTAAAGTAAAACATATCTCTACAACTAAGGCTAACATCTCACATACCTCCCCCTTCCCCCGGTATGACCTCATCACCACCCAATACCATGGAGCATTCGCACCATATTCCACCGGAACCACCAGATAAGCCCCCTACCGCAGGAGACCCAATGATGGAGGATCTAACCCCCACTAAGAAATCCTTCAAAGAAGCACTAGCGGACAGGAGATTAACCACCACAAGTAGTTACAACCCTGACTATCTCCCAAATGACATATTACCAGAACCACCGACGATTAATGATCCCATTGCTCTAACTCAAGAAGATAAAGCAAGATTGTACCACCGGCGCTTCTCCGTCATTGTTAATTACTTTTCGCTGGACAGATTCCCCACCTAACACTCAAAACTCAACTAACAGATCTGTGGAAACCAGAGGAAAATCTCATCCTAATTAACCTAGGATGAGACTTCTTCACTATTAAGTTCAATTGGGAAGAAGGCATGACCAATACTCTTCATGGTGGGCCATGGTTCATTTTCGGGCACTTCCTAACAGTGTGCATACGGGAACCAAATTTCGTCCCTGGTGGAACTATCCTCACCTCCACCGCGATCAGGATACGACTCCCCAAACTACCAACAGAATTACGACCGCGATATCTTAGAAAGAATAGGAGCAAGAGCTGGTAGGCTCCTCAAAGAGGACTCTTGCACATCCTCCACCTTAAGAGTCGGGCATGTTAGGCTATATATACAAGTTCCACTGGAATCACCAGTTATCAAGGCTATCACAATCGGTTCACACACTCAACCAATTGTCTATGAAGGCGAAGGCATCATGGGTATAGCCTGTAGGAGAATTGGTCATACCAACAGCAGATGCAACTACCAAACAATCAATCGACCGAGCCCCCATCGAACCAACCTAAAAAGGATGAAGATGAGTGGCAAATGGTGAGATTCCATAAGAACGGGAAAGGACAACAAAGGCCCACCAACCCTACACGCCAAGAACCAAACACACAAGCTAAATGGATCCAGGTAAAAATATTTGATGCTGCTCCAGGTAAATTCCTAAGCACTCAAACATTTCATTACTAAGAGAAACCCAAGCCTTCTACAGAAAAAGGGCTGAAGAATCAACCGGGTAAGCAAAAGATTGACAATTTGCATACCCCCTAATTTTCGGCTTAGCCCACTGACACAACCTCAAACTAAAAAGATTCTAAACTACACTCGCCCTCAGTTTCACCTACCCAACCCAGGAAAGAGCCCCCAATACCCAAACCCAAACTCTGGAAATAGAGCCCACAATGGGCAAGTGGCCCAAGGATGGACCCCTGAATATCGCACATGTCAACACATGCCCACACATGCACACCACACTTACACTCCCCACCCCACCTCACCCCAAACTCCTTCCTCTCCTCTCACTGTCTCTACCAAATCCATCCCTGCGTTTAGCCTCAAATTTTTACCAAATCGGCTAACTGCAATAGGTGATCGTCACTCTGTAATAGACGAAGTGACACCTTTGATCTCGTCAAGAAGACCCCCACATCAGAAGAAATCCCCAAACACTAATGAAATCAAGGGAAATGTCTATGTTATTACCACTTTGGGTAATAACATTTCCAACGTAATATAGACCTCAAATCCGATACAAACAATGACCCAACAACAACCAACAAATCAAGGAAAATTGGAGGAAGAACCCATTCCACCATTGACACTGATCTCGGCGCCTCTCCCACCAAATCACTCGCCGGGATCGTGGCTAGAGCTGGCTATGTAGGGGCAAAGCCAAATCTTCAATCTGAATCAAAATGATGAATCAAATTCTTTTTAGCCCAACTAGTTTGGATCCCTTTCTATAGGCAAAATGATGAATCAAATTCTTTTTAGCCCAACTTGGCAGCCTATTTTTCCCTAGAACAAAATCTTTGTTCTTCTTATTTGCCTTTGCTTTTGCAGTACATTTACTCTTATACCAGTATTACCACAACATGTGAAAATCTTGTTCTCAGGGAGTGTGAGGTACTTGCTTTTAGGATCCCACTTCGGTGCAGAGTTCCCTAAGCCAAATCCTTTTCTGTTGCTACTTTGGCGTTCTTGTAGCCATGAAAGTGCATTAGAAGACCTGTTGCATTTACAAGTTCTGTTTAGCTCATACTTAACCGTATTTAGGTCCTCCTGTAAGACTTTTACCTGTTCGCTCCTTTTATACAACTCATCTTTTATTTTACATAAATTCTCTTCTAGATTGAGTCGTGTGTCACCAGCTATCGTTTTACCTGTTTCTAACTTTAATTTTAGATTTTCAGATCTAGTTCTAGGATAGTCTTATCGAGTGCATGAACCTGGTTCTTTAACACAGTATTTTTACTTTCTGTTTCACAAGCCCTAAGTTCCAAGTTTTTGCACTTAGCTTTCAAGATGACACATCTTTTGACAGTTGTTCTTTTTTATTATTCACATCCTCAGATTGATCAATAAACTCAAGTAATAGTTCAGATAATCTTTCTTTAGATAAAAATCAAATCTTGTCTTTGAGATGAAAGACACTTACCTCAGTTTCTTCATCAGACTCTCCAGTAGTCATTAGTGCACGTTCATCATCATCATCATCATCATCTAAGCTTTCCTCCAAGCAAAAATCATAGCCTTAGTTGATCCTTTGTTGTTGCCTTTCTTGGGATGAACCTGTTCCTTTTTCCCATTTATTTGTTCAACTCTTTCTTTCTTTCGGTCAATCTCTCACAAAGGATAATTTTTTATCATGTGATCAATTTTTTCACACTTGTAGCAGCCATCATTAGTTTGCTTCTCCGGAGCTCTTACTTTGTTGTAGCTTCCATTTCTTGAAGTACTCTTTCCTTTCCTTAGGTACTTCTTGAAGTGTCTACTGATCATTGCCATTTCATTATCTTCCAGATCAGAACCTTCAGTGATTCTGAGTGCCAAACTCCTTTCCTTCTTAGGTACATCCATTTTCATGGTTTGTCTCCTAAGTGAGGTTTTCAATCAATTCATCTAGAGGGAGAGTAGCAATATTCTTTGATTCCTGGATGGCAACGATCTTGCTTTTCCATGTAATTGGCAAAATCCTAGTGAGTATCTTCTCAACTCTTTCTTCTTCAGGGATAATCTTGCCAAGAGATTTTAGTTCATTTGTCTATGTAGTGAACCTTGTGTACATCTCCTGAATGGTTCATCATTCATAGTAAAGTATTCATATTAAGAGTTCAATAGAGTTCCTCTAGATCTAGATCTCTTTACTTGAGCAGTTCCTTCATGGGCCACTTGCAGTGTGTCCCAAATTTTTTAGCAGTGGAACAACCTTGGATTCTGTTGTACTCATCCAAACCAAGTCCACAGACAAGCCATTTCTTCGCTTTGGAATTCTTTTCCCACTTCTTCAGATCCTCAGCATTGCAATTAGCTCTTATCTTTGGCACATATACTCTTTCAACATTTTCTTCAAAGTAGCTAGTGGACCATCAGTGACAATGTCCCATAGCTCATTGTCCTCTCCCTGTATGTGATCTCTAATTTTTCCACCAAGAGTAGTACTGGCCATTAAAGAGTGGTGGCCTAGAAGTGGATTGCCCTTACCAGTTTTCAGGGGGTGCACTCATCTTGATCTTCTCTTAAGGTGTTAGCCTCTTCAAGGATAACCCGCTCTGATACCAATTGATATTTTATACTTCAATAGCACACAAGAGGGGGTGATTTATATGGTGTCCAATTTTTCGCGTGCACAGATTATAGAAGGACATGGTTCTTCTATGTGTTCCTTATACTACAATTACGGAATAATAAATGCAGAAAGTAAGGAACACAAGTATTTTTACGTGGAAAACACCCGGCTCAAAAGGTGAAAAAATTACAAACTACTATCCAGTAGGATTTTTTCCAACACTTCACTAAATCACTGAGCCAAAAAATAACATTTACAAAACTCTTGTAAACCGAAGGATAACCTAAAACCCTTTGTGGAAATCAATCTCAGGTTGTTGCGACAATTTCAAGTTAACTCTAACTTGAACAATACACTCAGAGTATCTTGTACAAATGCTTCTAGATAAAGCTGGAAGGTACGACTCAAAATCCCTAGTACAATTGAACTAGAATAAAAGACATACACTTGGAACTGGTTCTTCTATCTGGTTCATGTAGCTTCAGCTTCGCACACTTGAAACACACAGGAATTGCTTGCAAAATGCCTTGCTATTTTTCTTCAACTCTTGTTTAACATCATCATTTGTGCGTCACCTGTAA